ACGCGCGCCCACACACGCATAAAAAACACATTGAAAATGCAAGTACATTTTTTATTTTAATAGTTGTTTCTATGCAAATTTTTTAAATACTTCTTATGAAAAATTTTTTAAACAAGTTAACTGACAAAAATTCAATTTTTAGAGTTGCATTCAATGGAAAATAACTGAGTCAACAATTTGGCCAAATCAAGATCCCTCCATCGAAAAATATTTAGGTCAATTATAATAATTAACAAAAAAGAATGCTTCTTAAGAAGAAAAATGAACTGAATGTGCCCTCGTTCTCTTGGATAAAATTAATCTATGAAGAAAAGTTAAATGACCCGTGAAATATTAAGGGCTTCGACGCAGAAGAGAACAAATCTCAGATCCTCTTAAGCATGATTTCGCAATAGTCAATGAACGACAATCACTATTTTTCATATCTCTGTAAACAATATAGAATCTTGAATATCTTTGTGATAATCTATTTAATATTCATCACACTTCTATTATTTATTGCAAGAAATTTGCACGAAAAAATCTTCAATTATTAAGCAAAATTTTTTTTCAAAAAGTACATAGACAGAACAATTTTTATTATTTTTATTATGGTTAGGAACGAGTATATTTAATAAAATTCATGCGCTTTTATTCTAATTTATCATTTACATGCGTGTACCTACCAATAATAATTATTGGGTACAATTGTTCGAGACATATCGAACCAATAACAGTGGAATTTAAAAAAAAATTACAATTAAATTAATATTATGTTAGTATTACAATTAAATAGGGACACAATTTATCAATTTATCTTTTTTTAACTTTGACATATTAAAATTAATTTAAACATTTTATATGAAATATATTCCATTGATATCGAGGTACTTATTCGATTTGTCTCGAAATTATTAAGTACTCGCACGTATTAAATTATATTCATATAATACAATAGTAAAAATATTTAATGAATAAATATATATGAAGCTTTCTCTCTTTATAAAATTATTAAATCAATAAAAGCTAATGTTTTATCAAATAAAGTTTCAGCGCATGTATTTTAATTTAAAACATATAGATATACGTAAATCAAAATAATTTATATTATACTTAATAATTAATATTATAATATTCATATCCTGAAATGACAGAATCCCTAAGCAGGAAAGAGAAAAATGGTTTCTTAAAAGAAACCAAAAATTAAAAAATAAAATATACTCGTTCTAAACTATTTTTTTTTATAAAAAAGTTGCTAAAAACAGACAAATTAATTATGAATATTAATAATCAAAATTTTGTGCAAGCATTGCTTACTAAGCAATCGTATCCATGTTAAATCTACAATTGATTTTTTTATCATCAAGATAATTAAGGTAATATAATTAAGACAATACAATATAGTATAATACAAGATAATACTAATACAATTAATATTAATCACAATGTAAGAATATATAATGAAAAAAGAAATTAAAATATTCTTTTAAAATATAAAAATTAATTTCATTTCTTCTTCACTTTACAATTCACAAACTGATCGTTTACTGACTATCAGAACTACCTATTGGAATTACCTTCCGAAAATTGCTAAGAAAGTCCGAATAATTTTGGCTTCACATGGATACTCTTAGTTTTTAACATGCTTTACTCATAGTAAACTGATAAGATGCAAATTGACAAAAAATAACTTTTTATGAGGATTACATACAATTTCCCGCCTATACAAACATGTTGATTAAATGTTCATCTGTGAAAAACAACGATTTTATCAAATCAATCTCGTCTGAGAATAATACTAATTTACAAAAAAATTAATTTAATCCAAATAAAATGTCTCTTATAGATTTCTGAATGTTGAAAATGAAACTGCAAGTCAAATTTCATCAATACATCAGATTTCTGAAATAATGAATTTTAATATGCAAAAAATAATTTTTTATAATATTTGAATTTTTTCAAATTAAAGTTAGTAAAAGTTATCTTGAAATTTTTTAATCAGAAATTATGAATGTATTATTCATTCCCTATATAAAACACATTTTTTATTTCAATTTACTTTAGAATTTTATTATGGGAGGATTTAAATATAGAGATTTTCTAAGATAGCAATTATCCGGCTATGATAAAGTCATATATAAGTAAATATAAATAAACCATTTATTATTCATATATGAGTACTTATAGCTTCTAGTTTGTGACTATCGATACACACAGGTCATACAACTTTTGTCTGAAATATTTTTTTGAAAATGCATTTTTTTTCGATATATTCGAGAAGACCAATTAAAACGAGACATTTGTGTACGTGTAAACACACACACAGATCGTCTCATTTTAATTGCCCACCTCGAATATCTCAAAAAAAAGTAAAAAAAATGTTTCAGAACAGAACTTGTATAGTCTGTGTATATGTATCGATATTTACGAACTAGAAATTGTACATATATAGGTATGACTTCATCGTCATAGGCGAAAAATTTGCTAACTTATTTAGAAAAATCCTGTATTTAAATCCTAACATGATTAAAAAGTAAAATATTAAAATTTAAAGAAATGCATTTTATAGGAGATAAACAAAACATTCATTTCTGATCAAAATTTCAAGATAATACTAATCTTTTTTATAAAAAAATTTTATATCGCAAATCATTTTTTGCACATTAAATCTCAATTATTTCTAAAACCTGACATACTGATTTGGCCTGCAGCATCGTTTTCAATCTAAAAATCTTTAATAAATATCTCCTCATCTGTGATTGAAAATAATTCAAATAATTTTATATA